GTGTAGTTTATCGAGAAATTTCTCTAAGTACAACTGGGAGACTAATTATCCCCTCTCCTCATATAGGTTGATTATCAAACACATACAGTGGACCTGCAGCAGGCTGAAGCTTTTCTTTTGTGAGACCCATATTGAGAAAAGTAGAATAAAATAGGACATCAACGGATCTTCCATTATTTATAAGAAATCTTTTGATATTATAACATGGGTCACCTATCCCTGCATTTATTATAAGCGGATCTTAATGAGGGGTTTTTACTCTATCCAAATCAGTGTCATCAAAAATGATAGAGTGATCAATACGAGCATTTTTTGTGTCAAATTTTCATCTACAGCCAAAAAGACCAGATAGGATAGTAAGGGGCCTCCTATGACGATCTCAATTTCACCAACTATTATTTGATTATTCACCGGTTGTCTCTATTGTTATTAATTTTGCCCACTAGTGGGATGAGATTCCTCTCGAGTAGGTGGATTTCGAATAAATTTTTGAAGATAATATTGACAGAAAAGCCTTTTAATTTCATCCTTGAGCTGCTTACAAGCTTTGGTAGTGTGGCCACGAGTATGATGAAAATGACAATATTAATCTTGATTTCCTATGTTCGGCTTCAAAGGATTTGACCATTTTAATGTATCTTGATCTCGAATGGCCATCAACACATTTGCTCAAGATATATTGAGTGATGTATACTCATTATCTTATCGAGGTTCCCGTCATGACAATGGAGGACTAGGAGGCAGATTATCTTCTCTTGTTTCTTTTTTTGTAAGGATGAATTATCCATCCCAGTTGCACCATTGTATTTTCTATTTGTTTGCTCAAACTATTTTTTTGTGAGCATTTATGGCTTCATTCATAGAGATTTGTGCCTCCACACGATGGATTAAGTCGGCATATGAATGAATCGTGTCCTGCATGAGTGCTAAATAGAAGGGGCCATGACGAAGGCCTATAAGAAAGATCACTCTCAGCAATTCAGAATCCACTCCTAAAATTTGCCGAGCCTTAATAGAAAATACTCCTTCAAATATTCTCCTTCAATAATTCTCCTTCATTTTGGCGGATCCCTTAGAGATGGGAAGAATCCTTAGCAATTTTTTGATTGACAATAAATTGTTCGATAAATATTTTGGCCAATTCGACGAATGTAGGGATCATTCCAGACGGAATCCAATAGAACCATATTCAAGCTTATCCTTTAAGGGTAGTAAGAAAAACCTGACAGATGAGTGCATCTGAGGCTCGCTGGATATGCATGATGGTTCTATAATGATCGATATGCTCATACAAGTTGGATGTCTCATCGTAGGACTCAATGCTCGGTAGTTTGAATCTAATTGGAATGGGGTGCTGAAGAATGGCTTTTATTAAAGGTGATAACTCATGGAAATCTCACTATCGAAGAGTTTTCCTCAAACCCCATATGGGGAACTCTTCCCGTTCCAATCTTCATAGTTCATGATATAGGGCATTGCGAGGGAGCTCAGCAACATACGGTGGGGCTAAGTCTTCTGGGAAGTCTGGAGGAATGCGAGATTGCTGACCTATGGGCGAAGGATGGGTAGAACTTGCTGTATCAACAAGTTCTTTATCTTAGTGTAATTACGGATGTCTTCTTGACGGAGGAAGAGAAATCTCTGCTTGAAGATGTTCGAGTTGAACATCTTCAGCCAGTCGTGGAGCTCGAGGGAGAAGAACCTTCTCCTGTTGTGCTAGAATCTATTGCCGAGTCTCTTGCAGGTGTTGAAGGATCTTGTTCTGAGATTCTTCCATCTTTTGGATTCACTCCTCTAGGGAAGGTCCTAAGATTCCTTCTCCAGCAACATTTTTTCCACCAAAATAAAAAGAGGAAGAAATTGGGCGTCCATGATTCATAAACTGATTCCTGGGTTAGTGGGAGTTGGAGCAGGAAGCTCCCAAGATACGATTGCTACGCATATTGTCCATCAAAGTAACACTTAGAATTATGGGATAGTGTTTCTCACAGATGGCGCCAAACTGTTGCAGACCAAAATATACACTGTAATAAAGTTAGAATTTTTGTCTCAACATCGTACGGATATCCATCACACAAATATTAGAGAAATAAAACACCAATATTTTTATGTTGAAAGCCCTGGAAAGAGAAAAACCATGGGGCCACGCCTAGTTAAAAGAATTCTACTAGTATTTGCTTGAGTTACTAGAGGCTGACTCCTCCTTAAAATTTAGGACAATCATATTACAATAATCAACTCATGAGTTGAAATTAAGTTGCAAGCGAATATCAAAATGATGGTGTTAGAAAACTGGTGTTCGTTGTTTATTGGACAGATTTATAACGTTACTTGAACGTCGGACAGAACACTAGTGTCACTTGAAAGTCGGACGAAACTTCAGCATCACTCGAAAGTCTGGTGGAATTCTGATGTCACTTGAAAGTCAGGCGGAACTCCAGCGTCACTTGAAACTCAGGAAGAACTCCGACGTCACTCAAAAGTCGGGCGGAACTCCGACGTCGTTCGAAAGTCAGACGAAACTCCAGCGGAGGTTGAGGAGTTTCTTCTCTCCTTCTCTTTTTCTCACTTTCTTAAGAGAAATAAGAGGTTATTTATAGTTTTTTGATGATGACATGACCCGTAAATAGGAGGATGATCAAGAGCAAATGGGGAGTGGTTTGGATGGACGGCTGATATTGAATCCCTTGATCGTGGATCATTCGTCAGACATTTGAAGGTCTTAATGATATCAGAATTCGACAATCTTTGGCTCATTGGATTCGTCTCGTCGAGCCGCTTGATTCGACAATAAGAATGTCATGTTTGGAAACTATTTGGTAATCCAATTTGTGGTTTGAACCTTCCATCAGTGCTTCAGGTCTTCGATTCAGACACATTTGGGCTCGTATTGAGTTGAAATTGGTGTCGTTGGGTTCATATTTCTGAGACGCTTAGTTCAACTATAAGTTTACTGAAATCATATTTTAGATGATCCCAAATTTAATTTTTAAAACTTCCGGCCTGATTTTGCCTAGACATTCATGCTCGATCAAGAGAATTTTTTGATGATATATCAGATCTAAAATATAGTTTGCCAATTTTAACAAAACTAAAAGAACTAAGGAGTTTTTACAATTGAATAATTAAATAGCTCTCTGATTTACAACATTACACAGTGATGATATATTGTATATTAGTGACGTGGTGCATCCTGATTGACCTTCGGATAACGTCCAATCACCGTATGTAATAATTTTATAATTTATACACGCTTAATATATAAACTATAAATTCATAATCTCTTTAAGTAATAGTTAAAACTCTCTTCTAACATATCAAAATGAAATTTTGTATAAAATGTAACAACGACTTTGATATTTTGGCAAAAGATTCTGCCTTCTCCAGGTTTAGTTTAATTGGTTCCATAATTAATTTATAGTAATCATCACAAAATGACAAGGTAGGCGAGATTGGAGTGATGTTTTAACATCAAATGGCATCCGTTGATTCCATATATGTTGTTGCTACTCACTCACGGTATCAAAGACTTTTAGCTTTCCCTCTCCTATAGTACTTCGTTAATTTCTGTCATTTTTTGTAGTTTTAGATACATCATAGACAATTGTGTATAATATTCTTTGTTTATTAGTTATTATTGACTGTTATTTTGACCACTTATAATGTGCATAAGGCTGCTGATGCTTGCTTGATATCGGCAAACGAACCGAGCCGAGTCGAGTATGTGAGTGTTCATGTTTGTGTTCATTTAATATCAGCTTGTTCAAGTTTGGTTCATGTTTGTTCGAGCTTTATTGTTTTTGTTCATGTTTGGATCATTTAAATTAATGAGTGTTCATGTTCGGTTCATGTTCAGTTCATGTTCGTTCGTTTAATGCTTATCGAGCTTGTTCGCAAACATATTTAACTATTTTTTTTAACTATCAAACAAATACGTTCATGAACATATCTATGAACAAACAAATTTATAATAAAAGCAATTGTCTATGTAACAAAGGCAATGATTATTTATATTTATTAGTTTTATAGTCAAATATTAATTATTTTTATCTAGCTTATTCACGAGTTCAAAATCGAACACGAACCAAGCTTTTATCGGGCTTCTTATCGAGCTTAATGTCGAGCTTGTTCACGAACTTCAAATGATGTTGTTCGCGAACATAAATGAGCCGAACGCATTAGTGTTCAAGTTTGTTTATTTAAGAATCAATTATTTAAAATTTTGTTCAAGTTTGTTTGTTTAACTAATTAAACGATCACAAACGAGCTTTAATTGACCCGAACAACGAGTAGCTTGTCGAACGTTTGATTCGCTTACCGTTCGGTACCACTCGGTACCACTGGGTACCGCTTGGTACCCTGTATCTATGCAGACGGTTCTCACCCCGTCCGCACTCCGCACCTAATAATTTTTCCTTTCCATATTGATCATATGGTTTAGATTGCGTCACGTCAATGTCAGGCTTGCAGAAATCTGAAGCATATTCGTATGTTATCCTTTCACATTTTTGAGGTCGGCATCATGCTTGCATCATATTATAATAATTATAATAAGAAAATTGATTTTCAATTGAATTTATGAATTTGAACAGCTAGCCATTGAAATACAATTTTAAATTAATTTAAACTCAAAACATCTTCATTTATAGTCAAAAATATCAATCAATAAATTGATCTATTAATAAAAAATTTTGACAATCAATTAAGAGATCTTAAATTTACTATTATTTATACTAATTTAATTTAATTGATCTAAATATTCCAAAAATAACTAATATTATTTAATTGCACAGTTATTAATAATTTAAAGTATATAATTTTTATGTATATAGGAGATTTTCTTCAATCTCTTTGATAGGAATGGAGCTTTTTTTTATTTATCCAATTTATAACTATACATCAAACTATTATTACATGGCATCATTAATACTGATTAATTCCTCCATTGCAATTAATCTACGCAAATGATGGTGCCAGCCTATCAATAAAGACATTAAAAGTTGACTTAGTGACTGATATGTAATCATTGTATTAAATGTGTCCATCAACACTAATTATTTATGCAAGCTTGCACTGCAATTCACTAAACTAAGGAGAAGCATGGTTACTGTTTCCTTGTTTTCAAGATTTTAACTTATATAAGGTTAAGATGCAGGCTTCGTTTGGAATGGCTTTTTTACTGCTTCTTAAAGCAATTTTTTAGCATAAAAATTACATTTTTTGTATTAAAAAACTGTTTTGAGAAGCAGTAGAAAGCCGTCTCAAACAAAACCATAATAATACATGAGATTCTGTTGGCAGAGCATATCATTTCTGGAACAGGATCGAGAAACATGGAACAGATTAAACAGAGTGAATCATCATCTTCATCATCAGCAGTAGAAGAAGCTTTATCCAAACAAGTTTGATTAGAGAATTTAAGAAAGAATCATAAGGAATTAATCATTCTCTTCATGTCAGCAGACCTCCTGGGATCGGGCTCGGCGATTGCTCTCTCAGTTAATACATGCTTGATTCGACACATGGACTTCCTCACCTGTGATTTATATCCAGACATAAAAATTAGAACGAATGCAGACGCTACATAATAATTAAGGCAGGCCATAAAATATTTGTTTAATAGGATCTTCCAGGACGAATTGTAATACTGAATGAAGGAACAGACCTGTCATAGCTGACTGTGACTAGGGAAAATTATTCTGGGCGGAGTCTGGACGTCATCATCCAGAGACCAATAAAAATGTGTCACGTCACCTCAAAAGTGTACCGCGCTCGGTACCGAGCGCGATACCGAGCTGTATCGAGTGTTGGTACCACTCGGTACCAAGCGGTACTGGACGGTTCTCCTGTCCGGTGTCCGCACAGAATAATCTCTCCTGTGACTAGATACTACTATGATAAATAGATATTCTTTTGTAAATTGTGAAGACTAATACAGAAGACCGAGTTAATTCCGAATTCATATAGAAGAAAAGTAAAAAAAAAAGAAGAAGAAATCAGAATCTGAAAGCTCTCACTGTGAAGGAATTAATTAGCATATAAACCGAAGAAAATGTACCACATAATGACTTTCACTTCTAAACTATAATGCACTAACTACAATTATTGACCTTAACAAAAACGCACTTCAACATCTAAGAGAATCATCATCAACAGCTTTAGAATTATCCCAACAAATTAAGATCAGTTTTATCAATCATTGTTATTCAGAAGTTTATGTTCGGTTTTGTTAAGATCTTAATGCAATTTTGTGCATCCGTGTTGTATTTAATTTACATATTTTCTTTCAAATCTTTAGACATTAATTGTCTATCCATCATATTGGTGTCTTTTATTCTCCGCTGAACATACTGAAATCACTCAAATCTATTTTCTACCTTAAATAGATGTCAACTCCACTGTCTCTCACACTCAACTTGGGTATTACTAGCTTCTTAGATGCCAAACATTCATATCCATATAACATAGATGGCTAACTTGCAATTTTAAGAAATCTTTCGTGATATTCTCTTATCTAGGGATGTAAAAATAAAATAAAATTTCGTATTCAATCTAGGTCAGCGCAACTAATTTTTATAAGCTAGTATGGTTAATGAACCAAACACGAATGATGTCTTGTTTGATCATATTCTATTCAATAATAGTATAATTATGATAATATATGCATCAATGTATACATATATATATATATGCATGTCTGCAATGCTTGTATGCCTATATGTTTACACATAAATTTTGGCTCGTTTGCTTAATGAGCCAAGCCAAACATAGCTTGAGCTCATTTAAGCCCACCTCATTTACACTTCTACTCTTAATGCATAGTATTTCCAAGGAACTTCTTCATTGTAACCACAACCTTAACTTAAAATGTTAACAACATCATTTATATGAAGATTATAATCATATATTTATGTATATAGCCCTAAGATAATAGAAAAGTCATGACATTATCAAATCAAACAATAGTTGTTACTGGAGAGCTTTGAGATTTTTGAATTTTTAATAGAAAATCCTATAATCCAATTTCATGGATAAAACTACCCCAAATCATTCGATACTTAACATACTGAAGGCACAATGAAGCTAAAGGTCTTGGGCCTCTACCAATTGATGAGTGCAAAGATTATGGGGCTATTCCTTTATTCCTTTAGCAAAATGGTTGACCTTTGTAAAAGAAATTTATATTCAAACTACTGTGTCAGAACTACTCACACCCTAAGATGTTTATTATTTTAAATACCAACAATGATAACATCAAGCCTTTTATCCCACTACGTAGGATTCGCTACATGAATCCTTTTTCTTCAATGTGCATATTAAAAGTCCAATTTTTATTTAAATTTAATAAAAAAAGGTAATTTCTAATACTTTCTAACCAAGTCTTTTTAGGTCAACATCTACCTTTCTTAACATATGTGAAATCTAATATATCTACTCTCCTAACAGGATCATCGGAAGGCCGACATTTTATGTGATCAAATCATCAAAGGTGACTTGCTAATATTATTTGTCACTGGAGCTACTCCAACATTTTCACGTATAAACTCGTTCCACATTCTCTAAGAGTGAAGTCAGTCATCCACCTGAGTATCCTCAGCTCTTTTAATGGCCAACATTATGCGCCATAAACCATTGCAAGTCTCACTACCATTTTATAAAATTATCCCTTAAGTTTGAGGAGTACATTTTTGTCACATAACAAACCCGATGCATTCCTCCACTTCAACCATCCAACTTGAATTCTACTAATAATATTCCCATATATTTCACCATCACTTTGAAAAATAGACCCGAGATATCTAAAACGTGCACTCTTAAGGACTTGATAGCCCAAAGTCACAATCTCCCTCACTAAATCTATTGATATTAAAATTACACTCAAAATATTCGATTTTATATCTACCCAAAAGAAAACCATTAGACTCTAAGGCTCACCTCCATAATTCAAGTTTTCCTTCCAACTCCCTCTCTAAGCTTATTAACAAGAAGAGCATCATCTGTAAAAAAAACATATGTTAAGGTACATCCTCTTGCAAATGTCTAGTAAAAATATCCAAGACTAAAACAAAAAGATAAGGGCTTAAAGCTGATCCATGATATAATCCAAGTGAAATAAAAAATTACCTAGTCAAACCACCTTGTGTTAAAAGATAACTAACAACTCCTGGATACATATCTTTAATGACTTGAATATGAGCAGTATTAGCTCATTTCTTTTTTAGAACTCTTTAAAGCTCTTCTCAAAACTTTATCATATGCTTTCTCTAAATTAATAAATATCATATGAAGATCCTCGTTATTCTCTTTGTACTTCTCCATCAAACCTCTCAATAGATGTATAGCTTCTTACATGAATTCAAATTGATTTGAAAAGCATTAGTATCATGTCATAACCTATGCTCAAAAACTCTTTCCTATAGTTTTAATGTATAACACATTAACTTAATTCCTTATAACTTTTTTTTAATTTTTTTTTATAAAAATAGGTATCAAACAAACTCCTCAACTTATTTGACATCTTTTTAGCCTTCAAAATAAAATTGAAAAGTTTCGTAAACTAAGAAATTCCTTTTATCACCTAAGCATTTCCACACTTCATTACAATATCAATATGTCTAATAGCTTTTCAATTTTCACACTTCATTTTCTTTAAATTCTCCCTTACTTTGATTTTTCTAATACAACGATCAAAATAAAAATCTCTAATTTCAATTATGATGCTAAGGTCATTAAAATTAATCGTATTCTTACCATCTTTATTGAAAAATTTATTGAAATATCCCATCTATCTTTATTGAAAATTTTTTTATGATAAAAACATTTTCTAATCTTCATTCTTGATGCACTTCACCCAAATTAAATCATTACTTCTCATCTCTTTGCATGACTAGCTTATGCATATATTTTTCACCCTCCTTATTATGTAATCAATTGGAGAAAATGACCAAAATAATCCTTAGAGTCTTTATGAAAGATTAAAATAGTTCTCAACTGTATTGAAGGACTATTATGGTCCCTCAATTCCATAAAAAAGAATCAAAATATTATCACCATGAAACTATTTTGATTCTTTTTTAAAAACTTGAGGGATCAAAATAGTCTTTTAATATATTTGGGGGTCATTGCAATCCTTCATAAAGAATCAAATAATCACTTGGTATTTTTCCCTAATCAATTATAAAAATCATTAAAAGATAAATTATTTACATCACATATTACTTTCATAAATTATTTACAAACCCATTTATATCTTTTCGAATTTTTCGAAATTTAATTTTTATATCAAAGCTCTTATTTTTTTTTTTGCACATTTTAATTCCACCGCCAACTATTTTTATTATTAAGAATCAAATGCACTAGTTGCACATTTTAATTCCACCGCCAACTAATTTTATATCAAAGCCTTCATATGTTATGCTAGATTTCTTTTGGAGAGCATATATGTATTGGATTCATATGGCCTGTATCATAAGATACTTAATAAATCATTAATGAATTTCAAAGATATTAATAACATTTTCACATATCAAAATTTAAATTCAAATCAACACCTCACTTCGCCTACAACCAACAAATAACTTCAAATTTAAATAACTTAAACAATGAATCTCATATGACATATCAAAAACACACGACATTTTTTCACAAAAGAGATCCAACATCCGTCTGATCAAATCGAAAAGAAATATATGGGTCTCCGAAAAGATGCTGCAAATGGGGGTCAAAATGCAAAGGGTATGATCGCAATATCCCATAAGACAAAACAGTCATAGGTCTTTACACTCTACACAAGCAGACCAATGGGAGAGCAGATGGAATCATACATATGATTAACCATAGATGATAACGGCTTTCACCTACACACCTTTAATGGATAATAATTGAGCACAAGCACTTATAATTTTAATGATATTAACATCAACAATAATCTTAAAAACTATAATTTTGTCTCTGTTTCTATCAATTTTTACAAAATTATCCTTCAAGCTCTAATTTATAATCATGCCTACACCATACCAAAGTTTATATTCTAAACTACCAATCCCCTTAGCCCTCTCTCCAACTCATTTAGTTTCCTGAATGCATAAAATATTTATCTTCCTATAAATTATAATATTAATTAATTTCATTAATTTTCCTGTAAGAGAACCTACATTCTAATATCATATCCAAACTTTAGTTTCATGGACTAGCTTCTTTGCCCACATCCGTCCATAATGTGGGAACCCTTGCCTATTTAACACTGCACCTGGATATCGATGCAGCAGCCCTTGTACACTTCTCACTGTATTCAGGCCATATAGCGCATCTCTTCCAGGGAACGCCCTAACATTAACACAATATATTAAAGGATTCATGTCATTATTATTTGACAGGTTTTATGCTAATTATCGACTACCCAACGCAACCCTTTTTTTCACTCATCCAGGACTTGGTACCTGACAATGACAGTGTTTATAAGAAAAAAATTAAAAATATTAAAGTTTTAATATGAATTGATTATAGCATATTCATTCCAAAAATATAAACATATAGAAATATACCATATATCACATTTCTCTTCTAAATTATAAAATATCACCTAATATCGTTGACCCCACGAAAAAAAATACCATCTTTAACATATGAGAGAATCACCATCATTAGCACCATCCTTATCCTAATTACATGTAGTCAGTTTTATCAATCCTCATTTCCCATTAAATCTTATTAAGGGTTGCATGAAACCTTAAAGCTATTTAGGGGATGTTTGGTATGATACCAGAATTAGGAGGGTAAAGTAAATTAATTGCACGCATTTCTTAAATTAGATCGTTTGGTTGATTTTGAGCGGAACATAACTCCTCTGAAGCATCAACGATGTATTACAGACAGTCATTCGTGCGACATCGAAACCCGCTCAAATTGAGCGGGTTAGAAAATCTCTCGGGCGACATAATACAAACCGGCTAAAAATCGTGTGAGACTACCTAGAGATGGGATCATCGGCGAGCCACATCATGAATATGGTCTCCCTCCAACGATCCCTTATGTACTCCGCCTTACGTCGTCTTTCCTCGAATGTCGTCGCCACTTCCTCGGATTCATATCCTCCCACCTCCTTAACACCACCATCGGAGACTGCTGAGAAGGACTATAGGATATACGTGAAGCAGCCGAACTCATCATCATCGTCGTCTTCAGTGATGCGCGACGAGGTGTCTGTTACGATGCCAATGACCTTCATGACGGGATCGGTAGAGGGGAAGCGCTTCTACAAGGAGGTGACCACCCGGATGGCTGACGATGGCAACGGTTAGACGGTGATGCTCGACTACCGTACCCTCAAAACTCATTTCAAGCAACCGATTAAGCTCCCAAACCTCGCCTTAGCGAAGGCTATTGTCGCCGAGTGGGAATACCAAGTCTGCTCGCTTTTTCTTTTTTCAGTTTGTGATGTATTTTTAATGTTCAGTTGACAGTGCGCTGCCATTATGGAATCCTCCCTCGTTTGCCTAGTAATTTTGGTAGTTTTATTTATTATTTGAGATTTTAGTTGTTGGGGCTGGATGATTAGAGCTGGAGGCTGTAAGATAACATTCTTTTTTTAAATGCTGATTTATACTCTGATTTAAATGCCCAATTATTACTTTGGCTCATTAGAAAGTAAATGTGCTGTAGGTTCAACTTGGCTGAGCTCCTACAGTGACTACATTGGTTAGCATCTAGTCTAATGATGAATTTCATTAATGAAATATCAGTAATACTGTCTAACAACAATATTTTTCCTATCATCTTTAAGGTTCTACACTAGTTGTAATGACAAAATAAATTATTACAAAAAAATTGTTTTTACTTTACTCTGGATCTACCTAACCAAACAAGGAAAACAATTCTCCTGCGTTTATTTTGCAGATTACCAAATAGTCTCAAAGTATTCAGAATGCACTACATTTACTTTACATTGCATTTATTTTACACAACATTTTCTTTTCAGGCAACCAAACAGCCCCTTAGTTCAAATGTTTCTGTTCGATCTCATTTGATCTACCTATTTTTCTTCCTAATCCTTCGACATTAACCTTACACCTTCATATTATTAGTACTAATTTACGCAAATATAACCTTCCTATCCTTGCCATACATACATCATAAAATTATAATCAGTGATCAAGTTGGCCATTAGCAACTTCTTTGTTGCAAAGACTTGTATACATACAATATAATCGAATTAATTACAACTTGTGAAAACTTTAAAGTTACCGTGATATGTTCTTACCACATAATACTCCCCAGACACATCTTCATTTTAACAACTCAATTTATTTAACTTTAAAATTTGCAACACCATTTATATGATTATATACATATGACATAAATATAAATAAATAAATGTGTGTTGTGCATCTAGTGCTTTCTAAAATCATTAAACTCAATATCAAACTGTTAACTATAATTTATAATATAATAATTATATAGTGTTTAAGTTTCATCAATTTTCATGATTATTTAACTATTATCAAAAATATGAAAAATCCAAGGATCGTTGAATGACATATAGAAGCCTCTTTAAGAATATTATTTACGTATATATTTCACCAATTAAAATTATCCAATCCATGCAAGATAACAAAAAAAGTACATTTATTTAATTGCCAGCCATTTAAAACTCTCTGCACTTAAATATCACTATTATTTTCTAATGCAAATCGAAGCCATCTATTATGAAATTTTCTATACTCAGTCACCCCAAATATGAAATATGTAACATTTAAGAGCTTTGAGATTTTGGGACTGGTGTGTTTTCTTTACTTCTAGAAAATTCTATAATCCAGTTTTATGGCTAAAACTACTCTAAATCGGAAGTTGAACATGCTAAAGACACAATGAAACCAAAGACCTATGGCCTGTGCCTAGAAATTTAGAGTTTCAACATTTTTGTGGCTTTTCCAAGCAAGATGGTTGACCATTGGTAATGAAAACCAACAATCGAACTAAAGTGCTAAAACTACTACACATACGATGAAATTAAATATGCCATAGACCCAAAGAAGATAAATAAACCAAGTATCAATTACGTAATATTGCATTTGCCATTTGCTGAAGTATCTAAATGGAAATGCTGGTCAGACAGTAAAAAATGGATTTAAGTTCACATTTTGCAGACCACATTTGGAAGCAAGTCACATGGAAAAGTTTGTTAAAATCATATGCCAATACTCCCTCAGATTTAGGTTAAAGCAACAGGAGGGTTACCCGAACCTTATGATGGTCCACTATAAATGAAAGAACAATTCTTCGAAAAAGAAAAACCTTGCGGAAGCTAATAACTTAGAAAGGATAAAAGTCAAGTAGAGGATTGACACCACAACTCCACAGCGTCCTGCCAGACAGCCTCGCAACCCCTTTCCCTCCTAGACTTCTTTATGAAAATACAAAGTTGCATGAAAGCCAGGAAGGAAAAATATACCTTCGGAATGCGTTCTGGGTTGGGAAAACGCAGATTCTGAGCATGGAGCATCTGGCGTTGAGTCATTAACATGTTCTTTTCCTTCAAAAGAACATACCATAGCTTGTGAAGATCATCCCAGGATTTAAGGCGCAATTCAGAAGCTTTCCAACCACGACCTAAAAATTAGATAATTTAGCTGGAATCCAGCTGATCCAATATGTATGATACAAGTACACATTTCCAAATCGGATTTGGACAAGGAAAAAATCAATGGAAATTAATCATTTAAGTCACCACAAATATCCAATTGGAAAATCATTTATGACCTGCAAGATTAACTTAATCCTATAAGTGAAATTTATAAGTCAACTCATTAGGACATACATATTTGTCAAACAAAATTTTAAATGAATAGCTTTCAAGAAAAAGAAAATGGAGATAGAAAATGTGTCAATGGAGAAATTTAAAAAATAACGAATTTCAGAGTTCCATAAACAGAGAATGCCACTTTCATCAAACCGAAACAGATTTGAGGGTAAGGAGTAGAATTAATCAATCTTGATTCTTGAATACAAATAATATCATGAAATTGTTTTTGCATTTTAGCTTTCAAAATCATTCATCTTTTTTCACTTTAGAACACAAATCTCTGACATTACAAATTCCTATCTTCATAAAATCAAAAACGAACATTGAGCAAAGAAAAAACCATACAAGAAAATAGTGAAATGATCATTAAAATGCCGGATTAAGAGAAATCCCATCTGGATTATCAATAAGATCAGTCTATTGCAAGTGACTTTAGATTTTAAATAACCAGAGAAGCCATAACAAACGGCAGACAAAAAGATATATCATTTGCAGAATTCATCCTTTCCAATGGTTTGCTATTAACTAGGAATCCGAAGCTTCCTTCTAATATAATGCTCTGTGATTTTTGGCTTCTCAGAACAAGGAAGACGAAACAACGCTTTAGCATATTGGGTGACAACATACAGTTTGGTCCATAATCTGTAAAAAGCTCTTAAGGATTGTTTTTTAACAATTTTTTTCTCCCATCAAATCCATTTCAACTACTTTTTGTTCATCATTTCCCAGCAAGGAGAAATGAATTGTTAAACTTACTAGTATCTTTTAAGGTCTTTGAGTTGTTAAGAAGATATTGATTAAATTTTCCCTACAAAGCCATGCAAGAATAGAAGTTAAATGCTGATGGAACAAAGGAAAAGGCCTTAACTATTACCAAAAGAGACAAGGACATTAGAATCCAAACCAAAGGGCTTGACTTGTCTAAACCATACCCTTAGATTTCAAAATGAGAAAGGTTTAAAGGAAAATTTAATGGCAGGGTGCCCAATTTGAATTCTCTTCAATGTTATAAATGTCAAGATCTAAATTCTTCTAAACAGGCTGATACTAGGAGATGGAAAAAAAATTGGAAGAATTTGAATTTGAAGAAGGCTCCCAGGGCACTGATTCAGCGTCAAACGTCAAAGAGATTCAACATGTCATTTACTTCTTCAATCTTCATAAAGCACAACCATTCTCTAAGTTAGAATTTACATCAGGATCACTTAGGTAGAATTAACATAACGTTTAGAAGTGGAATCATCAATCATAGCTTATAATTGATTGGAATCTTCAAACGGAGAGGTCCTAACAGGAGTCTTAGCTTATCAAGGAAAATAGCACAAAGACAAAAGGTTTTCCAATGTTTTTAGTCCACCAAGAAAAATCAAACAAATCTTACCCAAAATAATTAGAATGAAAATATAAAAATAATGGAAGAATGCTTAAATTATCAACTTGAACCAAAACTCTAGCTTCCAACAGAAAAATTTTCTCAATAGTCTGATGATCCAAACAAATGACTTTTTTCAAAGTTGGAGAGAATAAAATCTATTGCAGGTAAGTTCCAATAACAGAATGGTGAACTTGGTAAACTTGTAAAGTGATCTGAATAGTCGTGCTCTTCTTCATTTCAATTGCTCCAACATTTTCATTCCAATGATTAATCTTAAAGTTGAACCTGTTCAAGTTAATACAACCGCTTCAAATAAGAGAAACCAATTTCTTTTGATTAAATTTAATAAAAAAAAGTTCCATGCATGATGAAAGAAACATTAGAGAAACCATTCATCGTTCCAATGCCATTTAAGGATCTCCACAAATTTCTCCTTGAGATGGGATCTTAATCATATTCAAAACCAAAGAGCTAATGATATTTATTATCCTCATCAAATGAGATGAGATGTGGTATCTTAATAGCATCCTCATACATCATCTTGATTCACGGACAACAAATCAGTCTATGACTATTTTTTTTACAACCAAGCATAAAACTAAATTTTAGACTTCAGCATAATGATCATCCTTTAAACAATTGTAGCAAGAAATGGAAGATTGATTACATAATTCTTAATTTGAGATGTTCTAGAAGAGGAAAATAAATGATAAGATTTTGGTTCAAAACACTTACAACATAAACATAAGGACCCTCTTTGATTTTAGGGGATAGCCAAGGAGACCTTTGATTCTCCAAAAGTTATTAGAAGGTTTATCATTACAAGAGGCCACTATCCTCCTTTCTGTCATGCTCACTCCATCTAGGATAGCCTAACTCTGCTCACTACAATTTTTCTTGACAAGTTACTCAAAACACTATAATGATAAACCATTCTAAGCACTAATAAACATAGTTATCATATAATTATAAGCAAATATATGAATTAAGTGAATAAGAATCATATGGTTTTCAAGATTCTCATGCAAAAGATAATGCCATGTATTTTACGATCAAAACAATATCCAGCGAATTCTCAGAATAGAAGCATAACAAGGGAGAATAGGATGAGCCATTATGGTGAGGCCATTTTGCACAATCAATATCATTAGAAACTAGAACAATTGATAGGTTCATGTTTAGAACATTAACACTTCTCTTATAATAAGCTGCTATTACTTGTTAATAACTCTAAAAGCAATCATGGTATACCAGAATTTGAAAAAAGTTATTAGAAAATTTTAAATGGAGCTCAATATCAATGAAGTATGCATGAATATTCCATATCACAACAGAACATTTTGAGCAGACCACTGGACTTTTACCATATGTAACGGGCTTTTCATCCTCAGTATTTCTTTCTGCCTCAAAAAACTCCTCAAGGGGATTTCTAACTTTGGTAACTGAAGCTGAAGTAGAAAACAAAGCAGAAGAGGACTCGGATTTGGTAGAGGACAATAATACTCTGCGAAGAAGCCTTGACATGAACATGGTGTGACACCAAATTCTGCAAGAGTGGTTTACATTACTAAAAATGTTGAAAGAGAAAGCAATATGCAATAAGATGAAACAGAAAGAGTCTTGTTTTTGTAGAAAGATCAAAGTTTTACACATGATTAAAAATTGCAACCAACAATGGACTCTCCACAGTCTTGAATAACACAGCCCTAGGATGAGAAAATAAAAGACAAACACAAAAACCATGTCATGTGGTACAAAAAAAGGTGAAAAAAAAGTGGCATGTCTCTATAAGGACGGTGAAGAACGAAATGACATATCTTGTGGGTCTATCAAAGTTAATAAGAAGCAATAAAAGTGGACTCTAGAATTGAAAAAGAGCACATTTTTCTTGAACTCATACAGAAGTTAAAAATAGAAAGAACATGCTATGACCATTGGAGTTGCCATTAAATTATGAAAATTGAAAGTAAGAATTAGGAATGGAAAGCCAGAAAGTACAAGTCTAATCACAAAATTTGCAGCCAAACAGAAACAGCATATGCAATTAATTGGAACAAATTTAGCTGGCTAGTTAGGGTTATGAAACAAGTCTGGGGGGACAAGGAATGTATGTAGGGCTTCTAGTGAGCGTGAAAGGATATAAAACAAGTGAACACTAGAATTTAAGTTTTATAACAGTAAAAGGGATGAAAAAAGTTGTCCCAAAATTCTTTCAAAAGCTACCTTGATCCGCCTTCGGCTTCGATTCGTTTGCTTACGAGAAGGAAGGGCGTGGACTTTCGCCAGAGTCACATACCTCGCACGTCGTGTTTATGAGTGGAGGAAATAGAACCAGCGGCAATGCTAAACCATTTGCAACGGGATGGGAATGGACCATTGGTCCGTAAGGCCTTTAAATACGAAGACAAAAGGGTTACAAAGCCTGATCTTCTTAAGTAGAGAGATTCTTAGGGGCTGTTTGGATGCAGGATTTAGACCGGATTTGAAGCGGATTTGAAGCGGATCAAGCCAAATGGCGAAAAATGCAAAACTAAATCTCACAGTAAATCAAAGCCGCGGTTGATGGAAAATTCCCTCTTTTCGTTGTAAATCCCGGATTTACGAAATCCTTTGATTCGGCGGATTTACGGGATTTGGCCGAAGAAGCGCGCGAAAGGGAGAAAGTTACCTTCACAACAAGCGAGCTCCCGTTGTTGATTCAGATAAAAAAATGTCGTAACTACCGCTCCAGCAGGACGTCGTCGAAGGAGCGAAGTCGAACAGCGACGAAGAAGAACTTGTGCAAAACTTTCACTCCTGCGAAGGAACCAAGCCAAAAGAAATAGAGAAGAGATAGGCAAAACCTACTTCTCTTAAGTTATTGTTGGATAACTTAATTAATATAATTTAAAATATTAAAAATTAAGCAAAACTAATTAAATTATTAGTTCAATACTTAGTTATTTCAAAATAATTAATAGGAAAAAAAATATGATTTTAATGAAAATAATTGTTATAAAATATTATAAATAATAAGTAATCGCCTTAAATCTTTTAAGCACCTTAAATGTTTTAATTATCCAAAAAAAGCATGTCAAATCTTTTAACCACCTTAAATCCTGAATTGAATAGCCAAACGGCCACACATGAATTATCATAAATGTTGCCAAACAGTTTTCAGGATTTAACCCCCTTAGGATTTCGTAAATCCGAATTTAGAGGATTTACAAAATCCTACTTAAATGAAATCATGGGTGCTGCCAAACAGCCCCTTAGGGTCTATTTGGATAAAGGATTTATGCATAATTTGAGCTAGATTTGTGTTAAATTTTGTCAAATGCAAAAAAACACCTACTCAAATCTCATAGCAAGTTAAATCATAGTTTTCCACTTCTTGGCGTAAATCCACTAAATCTTATAGCTCAGATTTACGCGATTTAGTTGAAGAAACGCATGAAAGGGGGGTATAGATCGCTGCCTTCCTAGGAGCTCCTGTCATGAGTTTTGATCCAACATGAACAACGTCTTCAGCTGGGACACGAGTGCTTCTTTGCCGACTCTTTCAAAATTGTACTTCCCGCAAAGCATGGGAAACCCAACGAATAGGGTTTACTAGAAACAACGAATAGGGCTCCAATAGATGGAAGAAGAATAGCATTAGGAAAGCATATCAAATGTGAAATCAACAAGAGCATTTAGTGTCAATGCACATACACTATAGATTTCATTCATTTCACAAGGCTAGCTTTATTGATTATTCTTTAGCTTTTTCATCAACATGTTAAAAGTCAACTTTTACTGTTTAGGGTTTACTAGAAACAACGAATAGGGCTCAAATAAGCAAAGAAAGGACTTACATTCTCACCTTAGAAATTTTCCTTGAGCAAGAAGAAGAACAAGCTAAACCCCGTCGCCTGAACTGCAGCCAAGCAGAAGTCGGCCTTTATTGTAACTGAAGCAAGAAGAGGGAATTTTAAACCTGAAAAAAAACATGATTAACAGTAGAGCTCAAAAATACCGAAGGATGCTCGATTTGTTGTGCAGCAGGTTACGGCTGCAAGTTCGGCTTGAAAGCGAGAAGGATTGCGAAACTGTATCAGCTTGTAAGCGCGAAGGATATATTGTAACGAACAGTCTGGAAGAAAGCTGGAAAGAAATTCGACGAAGGATTGCTAGAAGCTCCGCTTTCGACGTTGAAGAAACCCTTGATTACTAAACTCGTTGCTTCGCTCGCCTTAGGTTAAAGCCATAGCCGCTCGGTCCCGCACTTCTGCCACTTCGCCTCAGCGGAAAGGCTATTCGAGCCGGTGAATGCGCTGCGGAGTCGGCGAATTATTGCATCCGGCCTGACGTCCGAATGCGTCAAATCATTCAAATATATTATATATTGGGCTTCAATATATTTTGCTGATGTATCGTGTCTGAATTGATTTCCGGATTCGTCCAGACATCGGACGCAATAATTTGCCGCCGAGTCGAGCCATAATATGATCAAACTGGGAACTCGCTAGCAATGTCTCTCGTTATCTCGTTATCCACCGTGGCATATAATAGCTGATCTCACTCGCCATCTTAGCGATAGGGTTGGCACCTATTCAAGGGAATCTCAGCTCTACCTATCCCAATCAACCAATTATGGAGCTCGCCTACCCCACTATAACAGTTCACTCATTTCTCTCCCTCTATAAGGTGACATAAGGTTCTAGTACAAGTCGCTAGATATTTGAGGTGTCAATTAGCTTTAATCTCCTTTGGTCAATACTCATAGTGGATTGTCTCCTAGTAGCTTGCTTTTAAACACTTCCTATTGTTGAGTAATGATGGAGCCAAAAAATTTATTTAGCGGGGGCCCAAATTTTATTTTTTTAAATAGTCACACAACTTTAAATTGAATATGTTAGCAAAAGCAACAAATTCAAATTCAACTCAATAAAATCAAATTATAGGCAAGTCGTGTTTTATTTTTAAACATATGCGAAAGATTCATCTCACATCTTTTAAATAAGTCAAAATGATGAAAGCTAAATTATATTAAGATTTATTTTTATATTAAGAAGTACATTAAATAACTAATAAGATAAATGAAACTAAATATATTAATTTTTTATTATAGTATCTTTTATATATATATATTATTAACCTTGTCTAGATAAAGATGTAATTACCTCAAAATTTAATTTCATTGACATTCTTATAAATCTGAAATTTTGGGTAGAAGAACTTAAGTGCCAAGCTCTCAAGTTTACAAGGGCTTGAGTGAGTGTTATGGCACCAAAGGTTTGAGCATGGCCAGGCAAGGAGAAGAGAAGAAAAGGGAGAGAGAAAGTGATGTTTTAGCTAGTATTTTTCATCGCTCTAGTGATGAATAGCATCTTGATTGTGGTTGGTTGTTTTAACCCTACTTTTTTTATGATGATTTTAATTTATGTTCATTTTCTCTCATAATTTTGAAAAAAAAATATAATATTTCTTGTTATAGTAAACTTCAATCATATGATTTTTGCTATGTGGTAGTTACTGTCATTCTAAATATTTTGATAAGTCCATATTGAAATTTTAGCGATTAGTTTTACATATATGCCTTTTTTATAGGAAATAAGGAGAGTAATATCAAATACAACATGATCAAGCAGTAAATTAAATCTGAATATTAAATACATGATATGCATAAAGTTGTTGTTAATTTATTTATTTGATCTAAATGCATTTTGGCATAATATGTGCATACTAATGAATACACTAGATAGATTTGTATGCTATGATTTTGCATAAGATGTATACATAATATTTGCTATTATGATATATGTTAAGTGTAAATTATTTATTGTTTATTGTATTAAAATTCAATAAAAATGTGTTGTTTTAATTGTATTTGTATAGGTAATGTTCAAGAGAACGAAAAAATTCATAATAATTGAACGAGCATCACAACATTGTCATCTGCAATACCCCAACGCTTTATTCAAACATTACAACACTAACTGCTTGATATTTTAAGGAAAAATCAATGCCCCTATGGATCCAAGGCCAGCTCCATGAAGTTAGAAATCAATATTATAGCACTAGAGTCTTGGGAAAATGAGCATTGACAACCTTATTTACCATAAGTCTTTGAATATTTTATTTATTTATTTATAATATATATGAGAGGTCCCCTTCTCCAATGAATAAAGGAGTAACAAATTATCCATTAGCTTCTATGGGTAAAAAAGGTGAATGCATATCATGTTAGGCGGAATCATGTAAATATCAGTGTGTCCTTTCTCTCTCTCTCTCTCTCTCTCTCTCTCTCTCTCTCTCTCTCTCTCTCTCTCTCTCTCTCTCTACCAGATTTACATTACTTTCTTTGCATTTAGCGTACATAAATTTTTTAATGATTGGATGGTTACATAATCATATGTTAGTGTCATAGAGTTATATCTTAATGTAAACTTTATATAATATATAGTCTATTAACATTATTTCTTTACCATTATCATCATACCCTATATGATCTAATAGATCTTATGGTGATCACTTTATTGAATGTTTATATGCTTATTAACTTGCTAATCATTGCACTTATTCATTGTATTATTGATTACTCCTGCTCTTTTTATTATAGATCTTTTTGTCTACAAAAAATATATAATGGATGTTTGATTTTTAATATTTAGTGATTGACATTCTTGATACTTATAACTTATGTATTTAAGGGCTAGCATCACTACACATTGTGCTACCTGGCATAAATTTAAACATTTAACTTATATTCATCACAATACCTACATACTTTTTGTGTTTAGTTATTTGATTAGTTTGATTTACTAGTTTATAATATATTATGCAAAATACATTTGTTTTTGTTATTCCACTAAGGCATTTGTGCGGCTTTGAATTGGCCAAATTTCAAAGAAAATTATTAAGTAAGAAAAATGCACATGCAATTCACTACTCTCTTTTTGATCTGCACCAAACTAATATAAATATTGCATACCTTTGAAAGCTAAAGCAATGCTCTATTTTTTTTTTAAATCAAAATCACTTTTGTTTTAATGATTTATAGTCTTAAACTTATAAATGTGTCCTCTATTGATATATTTGCTAAATTTAATTTTTCCTAAATAACACAACCAAATTTAAATATAATTAATGTGGATATGTTATAATATTCTTTAAGAAGATAGCAACAAAAACAATAAGCCTTTATCATACTACTTGGGGTTGGCTACATGGAACTATGTAAATCTTCACTCAAACACAAAACTAAAGAGTTTATATTTTTTGAAGCTCTAAGTGCTTTACACACAAATTGTGGAATGAATAAGTTTAAGTATTTGTTGGATATTGTTGTAGATTCTCTATTTATAACTATGATTCAAGGAAATCTGGGCCTTTTGGAAAATTGCTTAGTTGATATATCTATTTAATAGTCACATTTAGGCTACATCTACTCTAATATCTTAAAGAGAAATTAAACCAATGGAGCCATCAGGCACAATAAGAAAATCTAGAAAATCTCATTAGTTAAAAAATTATGAGAGAACCATAATGCATCCAATAAGCATGTCAACGTTAGTCAAAGTTGATGAATATATGCTTCCTTCGCTCAAATCATGGTGTCAATATATCCTATATTAATTTAATATACCATGCATACATGATGAAATGATTGACACACATTTCAAAGCAACTAAATTGATAGAAGGATAACCATCCTTTCTAACTACAATCAATAAAGTCTATTTGTACAACTAGTTCACCTTCTTGGAGCCCAACTCTCTAAGGGATTTATAACCCCCTCTTACTGAGGAGAATAAATTGTGTGCTTTAGAAATAATTTATTGTGCATATCCTCATGAATAGTGCTTCTTTATTACACATTTCCTCTTTCATTTTGTTCATAAGTCTTCTCTTATAATTTTTATTAGTGAAGGACAATCACATTTTGTAAGGTCAAAATCAATATACCAATAGTGAAATTCAAGTTGCAAGTTCCCTGCTATTGGATGAGCACAACTACCATCACTCTGTTACCCTAAAATGCTTTTTAAGGCATCTTTAGTACACCGCTTGACAAAATAAACGCAAAAGATATCGTCAACATATTTATTCCTTTTAATGACTGCAAATCAAAATCAAGACTTGTTTTGGATAGCTTTTGACAGTTTTTTTTTTTTTTTTGCTATTAAAAAAAAGTATACTAAAAAGCTGTTCTATAAAGTAATAAAATATGAAATTAAAATATATATAAAAAAACAAAACAAAGTCTGAATTTTGAAATATCCCATTCCATCAGTTGTATGTAAATTCTATACTTAAACATACAAATAAGAGAAGAACAAATGAAGCTAAATTTTACCAATTCCCGATTTAAAACATTATATGACTTCTTTTCTTAAAAGCACTAAGAGTACTAAGAGAAATGATAACTAGACATTTCTACGTGCGGACGTCAAATGCGTCCAGAGGCAAATCAGGAGGTGGCACATCACCCAATGTACAGTACATTATATGATGTGGGACCTCCACATTATCCTCCGGACACGTATAATAATATCTCACATTTCCAAGCCATTTGTTAGGCATCAATCAATTACAATATTACATACACATTGGCATTTCTAATATATCCAGTCTTCCTGATCCTAGGTAAGCCACATTTGCAAACTTGGATGATCTTTGGTCAGCTGCTTCCTTTTCTTGAGTTGATAACCTTCTAAGGGCTTTCGTTTTCTCGTAATAAGGCCTTTGCCTAGGAGCGCTCTGAGAACGCGACTTCGCCATGGATGACTCTGTTTGCCATATAGTTTGCGTAGTTGGAGTAACCCTTGAAAAAACTCCGCGAGCGCTCTGTCTTAACAGGTGTAAAGGGTCCCTTCCTCGAGTTCACGTGTTGTGAAGCTGCAGAGTAGTACTGAGCGCTCTCTCCAGAAGAGAGTTGGTACGGATCGATAGACGAAGAACTTGGAGTTGATAGTGACTTTGGCTCGGTGGCTAAACTTCTAGCACTGTAATTAGATTTAACGCTACAACAAGAATATTGAAGGTGACAAAGGCAGTTCTTCCTCTTTGAATAGAACCTTAGTTTCTCATTATCAATGGGCTGCTTGGAAGCTTTACTCAAGTTCCAGTAGAGCTCCTCTGTACACTGATACAACCAGTTCGAATTAGCTGATTGATTCCTTTCCCTATCAAAAACATCTGCGCCCCTCGTTTGATTCAACGAATTCCTCTGCAAGGAAATGGAAAGGCGCAATTTTTAAAATCAAGTGCTGAAATGGAGATAACCTTCCAGGCAGTAGAACGAATTGCAGCCTCATACTTCTCAGGAGTTGCAGGCCCTGGAACTGTAACAAAACATGAAACTGGAAGCAGAATAACTAATATAAATTGAAAAATGGGTCGAAAGAGCTTATTTTAGCTTACAGGATTAGAGTGAGAGTTCTTGCTCGAGCTGCTCGTCTTAGAGTGAAGTGCTCTGTAGGCGCAAGCTTTGGCCTGCACTCTGAGCAACGCGTTCATGCATCGAAAAGTCTTTGCCGCCTGCTTCCTTACAATGTTTCCCCTTACCAAAGCCAGAAGCTTCACTAATCCTTTCATCGCCCTCAGGGCTCTCCTTGCCTTCAAGATAGTACCTCAAAAGAATAAATCATCAGAGAAAGGTAACAAATCTTAATTTCAATTGGTTTTCAATCATAGCGCCAAATTCACAAAACTTAATTCTCGTTGAGTGATGCAGATATGAGCCAAACAATTCCTATGCTTACAGCAATTAATTCCCGTTCTTTCGTGCAACTTTTCAACCTACTTTATCCGAAGCAATAGTTGAGTTAAATGAGTCGTAACCCATGATATTAATTTCTAACTATATTAACTCGCTGTTGCAATAGTTGAAACAACTAAAACTTTGCATGAGATGCTTTCTTAATGCTTCTTAAAAGTAATTTTTTAGCATAAAAATTTTTATATTTTATACAAAAAGAGACTTTAAGATGCACTAAGAAGCTTAGGGGCCCGCTTTCTTGTTGCTTTCTAAAGTAGCTTTTTAGTACAAAGTTTTTTTAGTTCGAATTTTTTTTGTACTAAAAATCGTTTTAAAAAAATAGTAAGAAAGTCGTCCCAAACTAACCAAACAAAGCTTTAGTTTGGAACACAATTTTTATTACTTTTCGAAATAATTTTTTAGAAATTTTTATGCTAGAAAACATTAAGAAACCTGTCTCAAATAAAATATAAATGATTTAATATAAAAATGTAAGCCATGCAATTTAAATTAATCATCGCCAAAAAGACAAAATTATGAAGCTACTCTTAGACGACCATATTTAATGCAATGAAAATTAGCCATCGCCTATATCCTGCTACTAAAATTTTTTATGAGAGGAAAATGTAGTGTTTACTGTTTGGTGGGGTCTGCTATATGAATTCTTTTTTCCTATTATATTTTATAATTAAGAGGCTGTTTGACAACAGGATTTGAGCATGATTTAAACTAAATTCTGTCAAATGAGATTTGATCACTCGATAAATCTCACAGTGGAATAAATTATCTGTTTCTCTCTTTGTTGTAAATCCTGGATTTACTAAATCCTTTAGTTCAGTGGATTTATGGGATTTGACCGAAGAAAGCGCAAAAGGCATAAAGATGGTTACCTTCGCAGCAAGCGAGCTCCCATTGTGACTTCCCATGAAACTTCTTTAAAAACTCTTTCAACAAACTTCTTCATACAAAGTCTTAAAAGTTCATGTGAAGTATATAAGGCCGAAGCAATCACAAAGAAATGACGATGACGAAAAGCAACAATAACTAAGAATGGAGAAGATGAAAAGCAAATCCTAGATTAATTAAATAATTAGTAATTAAAAACTAAAATAAACAGTTTCATTACTACAATTTGAATAGAAATAATCATTATACAACATTATAAATAATAATTAAATATTAATTAGAAGTAGAATATTTAAAAAATTAATGAGATAATTAATAATATAATTAATTATTAAAACTATTTTCCCAAACATGTTTTAGATCATACCCACATGATTCCTTCACCCCATATGACCTCATAACTACAATACTTAATTTCATGCTTCTTTTAAATAGTCAATATTCTCAGCATTGTTGGTCTCATCACCATTTTATAATTTTTTTTCTTAAATTGGAGAGGTAGTATTCAATCACATGCCCAATGCATTTTCCTTCTTCAACCATTAAATTTAAATACTACTAATAATATTTATGAATAGAAATATGATTAAACCTAAAAAAGCTCATGGATTAAAGAAGCTAAAGAAGCTAAATGTTGTGTAGCTCATCTTGATAAGTAGTTAGAAAGTTTGCTGAAGTTCACGGCTCATGAGGACTATGACATGGCTTTAGCTGGAGGTGTGTGGTTTTTCGTGGCAAGCCTTTCGTTCTTCAAAAGTGCGTTCCAAACTTCAAACCTATTAGAGAGGATTTTTCTTCTATCCCAATTTGGTCTAAAATCCTTGACTTGCCCTTCCTTGCTAGACTCCGGAAGGCATTTCGCGAATTGCTAGCAAGATCGGAACTCCTTTGGTAGTGAATGACCTAACGGCTGAAAAAACCAGACTCACTTATGCTCGTGTATGTGTTCAGGTCTCCAAGGATTGTGCCTACCCTGAAATTATCCCCATCTCTATTTTAGGTGATCTTTTTCACTTAAAATCCAATATGAATGGAAACCGGTCCCGTGTGATCACTGTGGCTCTATTGTGCATTCGCCGGAATTTTGTCCCTCCAAACCGCCCACCCCTTCTTTAGTTGTCCTGCCACCTCCGCGTGGAAGAAGCACCAACCGTAAGCCCCCTCGGCCTTCCAACAGGAATTACATTCCCCAGTCGGTCCAGCAACCCCATCCCCAAACTTCGGCAGTTGATCCCAAACAACTCCTTACATCCACCACCACTGCTGCTCCTCAGACTTCTTCAAAAATGCCTGCTAGTATTCCTCATAACAAAACTAGTCTCCCATCATCTTCTACTTCCCAACAGCCTGCAGTTGTTATCCCTTCTTCGGCTAACACTTCTAGTCAGCTTTCACTATCATTCCCAACCTAAATTCACCTACAGAGGAGACTATTCCTCCCAGCTCCACCATCATTCCACAACAGCAAGACAAAGTGATATCCCCTAACAAATTTGTGATACTTCAGGAAAATATTAGTGAGACAGTGCCTCTCTATTCTACCTCTTCGTCTCAGGACCAGCCTCGAAACAACACAACAACTCAGTCTAAAGCTTATAGGAGTAAGCAAGCCAAAAAAACTCCTAGCCAAAGCTCAAAATCCCAATGATCCCACCTCGTCTCGCGGCTTGGAATGTGAGAGGTTTCAATAGCCCAGATAAGGTTAGGGCTTGTAAGGATTTAGCCATATCTCACAATTTAGACTTATTCTGTGTTTTGTAAAACAGGATTCATGCCAATTCCTTCTTGGATCCTTGGTTTCGTTTCAACCATAGAGTTTTTGACAAAGAGGACAGTTGCCACAATTTCAACTTGTCTAACTCGGGTAGAATATGGATTAAATGGGACCCCCTTCTCATCCAATTTAATCCAACCCACTTCACTACTCAGCTGATATCCGATGAATTACATAGGGGACTGGATTTGCTTTGTGTGCTCTCAGTTATCTATGCCTCAAATTCCCCTACAGACAGAATTCAACTTTGGGATAAAATTGGAGAGATTGGGACTCACATTACCTCTTATTGGCTCATTTTTGGGGATTTCAAATGTTGCTTACATGCTGAAGAGAAATTTGGAGGGTCCTCACTCCTTGCTTCTCATCTTTGGGACTTCAACTCTCTTGCGTTTGACTTGGGCTTGCTTGACTTGGCCTCCACTGGCCTAAAATACACATGGTTTAATCAGAGGGCTAATGAGCGTATTCACCTGAAGTTGGATAGAATGTTGATAAATGATAAGTGGCTAGAATCCTTTTCTAGATCCTACTATGAAGTTCTCTCCCCTTCTTGCTCGGATCACTCCCCTATTGTGCTTTACTCTGGACAGCCAACCAAGTTGAATCACAGATTTCACTTCAAAAACTTTTGGACTAAGCAAGGCTGCTATTGGGCTGAACTTCTTAATACTTTTTCACAACCGTCTCATGGGAATCCCATTCTTGGGTGGTATAGCAAGTTAAAAAATTTCAAGGAAAGCATCAAAGGTAAAACTTGGGCCAATTCTTGCTACCTTTCTACACACCTATCCTCCCTTAAAGACCAGCAGTCCCTTTGTCTTGGCATGCTCAATATTGATCCTCAAAATATTTGCCTGAATCAAAGATTAAAATCCCTTAATGCTCAAATTTATGATTGCTCTTCCTCTTGGTCCAATTGGGTGCTTGAACGGGCTAAACTTAAGTTACTTTCTCATGGAGAAGATGACTTAAAATTTCTTTATGCACGAATTAGGAAGAGAAGGAATCATAGCTCCTCACCATTGGTTTCCAGTGAAGATCCTATTGTTAGGCAGGACTTGATTAATTCTATTACTCAACACTTTGAGAAGCTCTTCAATGCTACCCAACCTGCCATCTTATGTGATCCCTCCCTTATTCCCAAAGGTACTGTCATTCCATCTCATTTATCTGATTTGCTGACTGTGATGGTTACAAATGATGAAATTAAAGCTGTTATTTTCCATGGGAGTTCCAACTCCTCTCCTGGCCTTGATGGGTTTAACTTTGAGTTTTATAAATCTAGTTGGCTTATCACTGGCCCTTTGGTGTGCAAAGCTGTGAAGTCTTTTTTCTCTAAGGGGTATCTCCCCAAAAAAGTCAAGGCCACTACCATTGCTTTGATTCCTAAATCTACTCATGCACAAATATTTCAGACTTTAGGCCCATAGCTCTTTGCATTGTTTTTTACATGATTATTTCCAAAATTTTGGCTTCTAGAATGAAGGACATCATGCCTCTTATCATTGGGGATAACCAAGCTGGTTTCATCAAGAATCATATAGCCACAGACAATATCCTTCTTGCTTCAGAAGTCCTTTTAGATTTCAAAAAGTCAGCCAAAAAGAACCTTATGTGTGCCAAATTGGATATTCACAAGGCCTTTAATTCGGTCTCTAGAGAATTTATTCTGGCCAGAATGAGACATAAAGGTTTCCCCCTACCTTTATTCACTGGGTTAAGGCTTGCATCTCTGATGTTCACTTTTCCATTTGTATTGATGGTGCTCTGGAAGGCTATTTCCACTCCTCTTCTAGTATCATACAAGGATGCCCCCTTAGCTCTTATCTATTCTGTATTGTGATGGATGCCTTTACTTACTTGATTAACAATGATTCCTCCTAGGATAGCTTTATTGGGATTCAAAAAAAGGACATGAAAATATCTCATATGTTGAATGCAGATGATCTTCTCATTTTTGGGGAAGACTCACTGAATAACTATGCTGTTCTCAGGGAGGTTTTAGACTCTTTCGCCAACATTTCTGGATTATTGGTGAATCATGAGAAAAGAGTCAGATTATCATTTCTAGCTATATTGCTAACCCTACAGCTATCTGCGAGGCTCTTAATATGCCCTCCTCCTATGCTAAGATGATCTACATTGGTATACCTATCTTTGTCAAAAAAACTTATAAAGCAGATTTCCAACCTCTCTTGCATTCTATCTCTAATCATTTAGCATGTTGAAAAGCTAGACTGCTATCTCTTACGGGTCGCCTTCAATTTCTAAAATATACGATGTGCATCACTATTGCTTATTGGATTAGAGGAGCAATTCTACCTATATCCTGTATCAAAAGTCTTAGTAGAATGTGTGCTAGATTTCTTTACTTTGGTGATATGGAGGCCAAAAAACTTCACCTCATTGCTTAGAAGAGAACTTGCAAACCTAAACAATATGGTGGACTGGGCATTCTTGAATTATTCGGTCTTCAATTTGCTAATCTCTGCTCTCTGATTTTCAGATTTTATAATGCCAAATCCCATTTGTTTGCCTTAATGAATGCAAAATACGACATTCCTTGGACTCTTGTTTAGGGAAAACCCTCTCCTTTTTGGAGAGAAATTGGGAAGGTTGCCATACAAATCACCTCTTGTATACACTTTGAAATCAACCCTATTAAATGTAACATTGCATTGTTATGGGATCCATGGTTCAATGGAGGGACTTTACTATTTGCTTTTCAAAATTACCATTTGGCAAACCATTTTCAGCACCATGCCAAGGTTACTGATTTTGTGGGGGTGGATGGCTGGTTGTTTCCAAATTCTGTTAATGAGGGATTAAACCTTGCTCTGGCTCATATTGGCATCTCTACTGATGCTAAAAACACTTTACTTTGGAATGACAAGGAAAAGCCCTCATCTTTATAATTTTTTTTATAGAGAGGAGGTCATTGTGGACTGGTATAAGTATGTGTGGTACAAGCACTATGCTCTAAAATACTCAATTTACACTTGAATTGCTATTAATGGTGGTCTCAAAAGGGTAGAGGAACTTAGTAAGAGGTCAATTGTGGTGCCCACCAACTATTTTTCATGTTCTTGTCATTATGAGACTAATTTCGACATTCTTTTTGAATGTGATTACGCTTTCTCGGTTATACACAAACTGATCCCTGAGCTGGGTGATTTTCTTTTAAGACCGTGGCTCACACAAGTACTGCTCTACTTGGGAGATCGGAGCTATCTAATTAAAAATCAAAAAGAGCTACTTCTCCTCACTATTTCATGTGCTGCTTATTATCTTTGGAGGGAGATAAATGAAAGAAGATTCAATTTCAAATTTAGATGTGCTTCCACTCTATGCTATATCATAAAAACCGCGGTTGACGCCAAGGTCTCAACTTGGAAACACTTTGATAGTCTGAAAATTCCGTGGCTGACATAATTCTGTTCTTATGTAATTTTTGGCTGCATGTTTGGATGTTTGGCCCAGGTTTTGCTACATGGTGGCTCTGGATACTATGCTGCTTTCGTGGCTCTTGCGGATTAAACCTGTGTGGGTTGATATACTCTACTGGTTAGTTTTCTGTTGGATTTCTCTGCTGACTGGATGTTTTTTTACCGGAATTCACTGATGGAATCTTATCTTAAGTTCCTAGGATGGCTATTTTATAGCAAACTTGGACTAATGCTTTTGGTGGTGTTCGAAGAAGGACGATGATGTAGCTACTAATCTTCTCCTTGGAGGGCCTTTTGGGCAACCAGGAGATACCTTTTCGTTGTCGTTTTGCCGGTTATTTTGTTGGCTGATTAGCAGTCTGAGTCCAATTATGGTGTTCCTTCATCTCTTCTCGATGGCTGCTCTTACTTTGCTGCTTTCATTTTGTAATTCCTTTTGTTTTCTACGGGGTATAGGTTTTTGGTTATTCCTCTCTTTTTGTTTGAGGTTTAACCTTTTTATTATACCTTACTTGTAATCCTTTTTTACATAGTAATATACGGGCTTTGCCCTCATTTTCCAAAAAAAAAAAAATCAATATTTTAGTATAAATTTTTTAATTAGTTAAATAATAAGAAAATTGTGTTTAATTCTTTTAAAAGTAAATAAATAATTAAAAAATAAATAAAACGGCATTTTTTAAGCAATCGGGCCCACCTCACTGACAAAACAAACCACACTGACGTGACTGATATTTTTTTAACCCATTAGGCCATTACGGTATCTCAAAATCAAAAGGCCAGATCATACTAAGTTCAGAAGAAGCCGTACCAAATAACCACGAAAAGCCGTTTGGATCTTGACGGCCGCTGGCTCCTCTGCCTTCAACCTCGCCGAGCCGCAACTGGTTGTGAGCTGCACCATGGCAGCGGCTGCCTTCGCCAACAATTCATTTCAAAACTTCTATTTGTTCTAATATTTCTCCGTCGAGGTAATATATTACAATAAAGAATGAGAGATATTAAAAGCATCTATAATTTCATTCAAGGCTAAAGATAATAAATTAGTACTTGCATTGCATTTGTATCATTAACCAAAAACTCAGAAATTAGATAGACATATATAAATTAAAAAACAAACATATCTTCCTTTCACTAATAGAAGAAAAATATACAGGAGAAATAATATGAAAAAACTTCACCATGATAGTACAAATGACTTCTCCACACTCCTTTCTCCTCCAGTGGTAGAATTGTTTACACAAAACTGGATAAAATCTCCAATGAAAGTATCTTGCACTCCCTTAACCTCCCATAAACTTTACTTTAAGGCGGTACTAAAGAACTACACAAAAAATTATATAACTCTACTGAAACTGATAGAAATCCTAAGAAAAAGAGCTAAAATACTATTTATAATAGGTACATAAATAGCCTCAGATGCCATGATGCTTGAATTGATGGTGTTGAAGTGTAATGAGATGGACTAGTGCCTTTGGCACTTCTGGGCTTGCTCTACTGTGACGTTGTGCTGACTCGACAGGTTTAATGTATAAACTGGTGTGGCACTTGGCTGATTCGGCATGACTCCATCTTTTGTCAACAACTCTGCCACGGTGCTAAAAAATTTGGATTGCTGCGGTGCATGAATATGCAATCTGGTGCTGCATCATTGTAATGCTCAGAGCTTTGGTGCTCAAATTCCTGAGACTCAGATGCTGTGGTGTATATTTGTGACATTGCGGTGCTAACCTTAGCTCCATTGGAGCACTCAATTATTTAACATTTTTCTCAAGGCCGTGCATGATTTTGGTAGTTGGTGCATACTGATCAACACTTGTGAAATTATTTTCCTTTTTGTGAGCATTTCTTGCATAATATTAACTAAAATATCACATTTTTATTGAATTTAATTTTTATTTAATTTAAAGATATGAAATTGTATAAAATTTACATTACACTATGACGTTGGCACTTGTCAATGCAAGATTGTATAGCTTCTAAGTTCAAGACATGATAATAACTTAAATGATATTACTTAGTTAATTATTAAGATTTTTTAATTATGAATTATTATATTTTGTTCATTCAAATTATCATCTAAGGTTTTGTTATTATCTTTATTTTAGATAATTTTAATTATTATTTTTATTTTGACTAAATAAACAATCAAAGTAATTTTCAACAGTTACACATAAATGAGAATTTAATCAAATATAAATTATACATAATAAAAAATAATTTAAATAAAAGCAAGAAAAATACTATCACTAAATAAAATAACATAATACATAAGAGAAGAACTAGATAACTGAAAAGAAATTCAAACTAAAAATACATTTGAGTTGCTCCATCAATGCTAAATTTATAGTCATTGGTCAGACTTACCTAGATATGTCATTTTGGCTGGGGTGCATAACTACTAGTCCTTAAGTGGTTCGAACTAAGATCCGTTACTTTCTCCTTTGGATTAATTTCAATATTGCTTGGCAATGTTCCATTGGGTTTGCTACTAAAAGAGATTGCAAGCTATTCTAATTGATTTTTAAAGTTTTTGATTGAAGCAACTTGACTTTGTAATTAAGTTTTCAATTGAATCACTATCTCTTCAAAGGTGTCTTCCTACCTTTGAACTTATTATTTTGATTAAAACTTATGGAATAAGAAGATATAGGATTTAATACCGTTTGCTAATATTTATTCCAACTTTCTCATTGATTAGATTGACCTGAATCCGTTAATTGTAATAACATTTCACGTATGATTATATATATAACACAAAAGAGATAAGCACACAAACAAACTTTATAACTCATTAGATTTAAGAATTGAATCAATGACTATTTAGCATAAGTTTGTTACCTCATCATCTTGCTCATGTTCTAATGATTCAGAAGCTAGGTTTGCCTAGGAAATTTTTTGCTTCTTATTATTTGCCTTTATTGCATTTTTCTTATTTTTGCACTCTTCCTTTACATGAAAAATTTTTAAATTTGGGAATTCATATTTTAGATGTCCGGGTTTCTTACACCCAAAGTAAATAATGTCAAAAGAAAACTTAACATTTTTATGTTTTTTACATTTGTTCTACTTTTATTGATGTTTATGCTTGTGCTTTAGTAGAAATTCGAATTTGCTTGTTATCAATGCTATCTCCTTACTCTCTTCATCTACTATGCCACATTCATTCATGTATTTGGCTTTTAGCACTATAATCTTCTCATCACCTGCATCCAAAATTCTTTGACTCACATTTTGCTCGTAGGCAATGTGCGAGCTAATTAGATTGTCAATAAATTAAGCATTCAGATCTTTTGATTCACATATGGTTATGACTTTGTCGTCAAAATTATCAAGTAGAAAATATAGAATTTTGTTAACCTATATAAAGTTTTCTACCTAAAGCAAGCAAAGATGTCAATATCTAAGTAGAGTAAATTTAGTATACCTTTTTGAGATAGTCTCATAAGATTTCATGTTGAAAAATTCATAGTCTTGCAATAATAAATTTAACCTAGATTTTTTGATTTCACTAGTATCTTTATATGTAATGCATAGTCTTTCCCAAATATCTTTCTAGTTGTATAGGTCGAAACTCTCATATAATCTTCAAAAGTAAGTACATAAAAAGCAATTCAAAGATTTATCATTAAATTAAGCATAAATTTGTTCTTCTCTACTCCATTTAGTAAAATGAATGTTTGTTTTGACTCCTTTAATAATTCTTGATAATACAAAATAGCCAATTTGAATCATATGTTACATTAAAAAATATATTGATAGCGAGAAAGTAGGCATGCATATTTTCTAAAATCAAATGAAATATTATCAAATAAAGAAGGATGGGTAATTGAGTAAACTTCTATGATGTTCTTATTTCAAAAGTGACACTACAGGAAAACCCGTTATTACCGGCGGACTAAATCCGCCGGAACACATAGATAATCCGACAGAACCATAAGTTTCCGGTGCACGTTTTGGCGGAAATGCATACGCCGGTTTCGGTCGCGCCCATAAATTTGTTCCGACAAATATAATGAGCCAAAAAATCTTTCCGGCGCACTTACCGACGCCTTACCGGCGTAAAACATCGGATTGGTGCCGACGACTTACAACCTCTAGTTTTATCAACAAGAAGAATATCATCAACAAAAAGCATGCACCAAGGTACATCCTCTAGCAAATGTCTAGTGAGAACATCCATGACTAAAGCAAAAAGATATGGACTTAAGACTGATCCTTGATGTAACCCAACCAAAATAGGAAAAAATAACGAAACAAAATACCTTCCGTTCCGTCGGCGAATAGCGATCCTCGGCGGCGCGCTAGAAGGAAAGAGAGGAAAGGATGCTTGGCGAACTCCGGAGACCGTCGACGGCGAAGTCCGGTGACCGTCGGCGACGTTAGTCCACAGCGAGCGACGGATGGCGACGGGCGAAACACGCGAGGTGAGAGAAGGGAAGGAAACGAATGAGCGGCCAGAGGGGTTC